TGCACTTATTGGATTTGGAGTCAAGAATACCTAGGAGACCTCCTTAGCTAGGACTCCAGCAGCAACCACACCTAAAAGTCCTACCTCTTCTCATCCTCCACCCCTCCTCCACACATACACACTATCATCGGACATCTGGCCAAGGATCTCTCCTTGGCAATTGTTAAGATCCATCCACATAGCTGACCCAAACCCTGGGTGTCACAGCTGTTGACATCCCCCTCCTCCTTTAAAAGCACATTGTGAGGTGTAAGAAGGTGAGGAGAATCAGGGCAGATAGTTGCATATCATCATAACTAGGACTGGCTACACAGGACATGTTTCCTTAATGTGTTTCTGAACTAAAATAAATCAAGGACATAAAATCTATGTACTTTGCCTTGATTTCCTGGCTCAAAGTGAATATAGCATTCCACTGAAGTACAATTTTGGAGGTGATAGGGAGTCACCACCTTATTTGCCTATTCAAGCAATAGGAATAGCTGCTTGCTGCAGAAAACTAGAAACTCCTTCACTAGAATCCAGAACAACCTTTAAGTACCTGTTGTTGTTATTGTTGTTTGTCCTTCTTTCTCGAAGAAGACCATAGCATCAGGGAGGCAATGCAGTGACATGCAAGTGAATTAGGTTTAAGTGAGAGAGGGCTGTGTAAAGTCACAGCCTCAGTTTTCTCCTCTGTGCTATCTGGGTCCAGTGGCCAGAGATATAAATCAGAACAACTGGAGATGGCCCAGGATGCAGTGGGGGACCTTGGCCTTTTCAAGTTAAGGTCTTTAACAGGTCTCAGTTTGACTGAGGCAACACCTATTCAGTGATTAAGGCTGTGTGATTCAAGCCATTATTGGCTTATATGTTATTCCTCATCCATGACCCTTCCTCTGTCATCTCTGCATATTTGTAGGGCTGTACCCCTTCCCTGGAATGCTCTATATCCTCACATTTACCTCTTAGCATCCCTGGAAAACTGAGCTCATATGCTACATCTTGAAGGTCTCCTTTTCTGGTTCCCCAAAGCTGCTACTATCTTCCCCCTTAAGGTTACCTTGTATATATTCTGTATACTTCTTATAAATACTCTTCAGGGCAGGTAACATTTTCACTTTGTATTTCTTTCCTTAGAACTTAGGACATTGTCTGACAGTGCTTGTTGATTGATTGATTGGCTACCAATTTAACATCCATTCATCTCACAGAATATAAACAAGACACTGGTAGAATGAAAGGGGATGCTCTTCTGTAGAGTTTCTAATGCTAAGAGGACATTCTAAAGACTCACTTTTGAACTCAGCTGGTAAAAGAAAATACTGTGAACTTCATACAAACTGAAGTTTTGTTTGTTTGATGAAAAACCCTCTTCAATCAACCACATCCCTAACTAGTACTGTATTTCCTATATGTTCCTTAAATTTGCCATTCATCCTTCATTATTATGAATTATCATTCATTATTCCTATATTATTTAATTATTACAATTATACTTTTACTTCTGGACCAGCTCTATGGGTTTTCTATAAAGTTTCACATCATAGCTTGGACAAAAGATACTGTTCAACATTTTGTTTTATTGTGGCTGAACTCAACCTGAACTCCTGAGTGAGGTTGGATCATATTTAGAAGTTTCTGCAGTGTTTATGGCATCTGCGAAAAGGAGTATTTTGTGAAATTCGTCATCTACACGGAATCCTACAATTGTCTTTTCATTGACCATGAAAAATATTTTTGGGGAGTGTGTCTGTTTCATGCCTCATTTGATAGTAATAATTAGAAAGTCATTGAACAAAATTGTCTCTGTTCTTATGGCTTTCTATTTAAACTACAAAACATTAACAACATAATGTAATCATTTTAGGAGTTTCTACTAGGAGTGGCCTTTGTGAAATCCAAGTTTCCCTCTCTCTAGTACTTGCAATGCAAGATTGGCCTATTTCTTCTCAATTGGACTATCCTCTTGTCTCTAAGGAAGATAGCATATCTTGCAGTTAAATTGTACAAATGGCAGGGGACTTTGAAGTGTGATCTTTGCCGAGCTTTATTAAGGCCCCAGGCATTTATAAAGTGATAAATTACAGATCAGTTATCTGTCTATACTGGTAGAGGGTGTCTACACACTAGAAGTACATTAAATTAATGAGATCACAGGTCTAGATTCCTCTTCCCCCTCTCTTCTTAGCCCTCTACCCTCCCACAAAAGAATGATGGGTTAATAAGATGAAGACAGAGAGGAAACATAGAAGAGATGAACATAGGTTTTATCACCAGAACACAAAATAGAAAAACTTAGGGGTCTCCCTTTGAAGGTTGAAGAAAACACTTTTTATCTTTCTTTTGTTCAGTATTTTTTATCAGTTACTTGGAAGAAAGAATAAATGGCATCCAAGAGATGGATGGTACAAAGCTGGAGCATTACACAATATGATGGAATAGAGAAAGGGGAATTCAGCAGGTTTCTACATCCATGAATTCAAATCTATTGATGAAAATTGAATAGGAATGAATATAAGTTGGGTTTTATAAAATCAATTTCAATAGTATAGGGTGGAGGAGTCAGAGTTAATAGATAACTTATGTAAAAAAAGACCTACAATTCTGGTGAATTACAAATTCAATATGGGTATCAGTCTGCATCCAAATGTGGTAGCTAAAAGGCCTAATGTTATCTTATTCTCTATTAATAGAAAGAAGTATAGAGTATAGGACAAGAGATGCAATAGTCTCACTGTACTGTGTTCTGTATAGATAGCACTTGGCACAGTGTAGGAAGTTTTTAAAGGAAATTTTTAGGCTGAATATTGAGAAGCAAAAGATGGATAATGTTGGGGCTTAGATATCATGTCATACAAGGAACTAGAGATATGGTTAGCCTGAAAAAGTAAAAGTTTAATAGGAACATGATAACCATGAAGTATTCAAAGGGCCATCATTTGGAAGAGCTATTACACTAGTTATATTAGAATAGATATTAGAATAGAATTAATGTATGGGAGGTTATGGGGAGGCTGATTTCAGTTCATCATAAGGAATAACTTCCTCACAATTACAGCTATCCAATCATGGAATAAGGCTCCTCAAACATGCTCCCTTCTGGCTGCATGCAGTACAACACTCCCGAGTCTATCTATAACCAGATTAAAATATAGTCGGGAAATATTTAACAAAATAAAAATACAATGAAATACAGATAACATTTCACTGTAAAATTAAGTCAGTATGTGGGCCACAAGGATTTTTTCCTATGGATCACACACCTTTGCAAACTGAAATGATTTGCTATGGTGTAAGAGCTGAAGATTCAAAAATTGGCCTCCCCTTAATTGAATCATTTTTCCCCTTAAGTAGGTATTCTAATCTATCATATACAAAAATTCCCCTGGTTCTTTTAGAAAAGACAGTCCAATTCTGTTTTTCTCCTTTGTCTTCATGCCTGCTATCTCCTATAATGTAAAAATCTTAGGAGAATAAATCAGATGTCCTGTTGGTTTCTTCTTAAGTGTCCCCATCCTTCTTACCATCCCACTTCTCAGAATACTGGGGCTGCAAAATGGGAAGGATGAAATATTGATGGGAACCAATACGCAATTTAATGAAGGTGGCTTATTGGAGTGAATGCGTCTTTGCCACCCTCCCTTTCAAACGTATTTTTTCTAGCCAGGAAATCTGAGCAACCCTAGCTTTACTAAAAAGAAAATACAATCCTCTCACAAGCAGCAAAGACAATAGTCAAGGGTTCTCAAAGAGCCAGAGAAACCCCTTTTTGAGGGCCTTGTCATTAAAAAAAATTAAGGAAAACAAAACAGGGAACCAAACATGAGAAAAAAATGCACGGAGATAAATTTAACAAAGAGTTTTTTTCTTGTTTTTGTTTTCCCCAGCCCACTCCTGTACAATGTACTTATTCTCAAAGGAAAATCTATAACTCAGGCAATGTCACAGTGGCATTATTCAGTGGAAGGAAAGTTGGACCTGGGTTAAGTTCCTACTCTGACAGTTAATACCTTATGATACCTACTGCAAATCACTTTACTCCTCTGGGTCTCAGTTTCTTCATCTATAAAAGGAGGGAACTTAGACTTGAGGGACTTCTGAGATCCTCCTAGCACTAGGTCAAAACCTACATCCTATTTTTGCTCCTTTCTTGTCACTGCTGCTTCCTTCTATAATTTAAAATCTAAGGAAAAAGTCAGATATTCTGTTGGTTTCTTCTAAGTGTCCACCATTTTCCAGCAAGACCACTTAAAAGCGAGGCTGAAGTACAAACCAGATGAATGGTCCTTCTATCCTCACAGAGCTACTGGTGCTGACAACAGGTTTCCTCAGGAGTCCAGTGCCTTATAACCACCTCATCAAATACCTAAGGGAAAAAAAGATGCTTTTGGATCCCAGACACTACATTCACCTCTGGCACCAAGAAACCTTTTCACAAAGAACCTTTCAAGTCTTTCCCCATACGCTTCTTCCAAGATCATTTCCTCCCATTGGCCTGAGTATCTCTTCTGCTTCGGCATGAATCTGCACCAAGTAGCTCAATAGTTTCTGGGAATAAGAACAAATTCTGCTGGGAAGGAAAGACTCATCATCCCTCTAGAATTGCAAATTATTCGGGGCGAGATGAGGGGGAAAGGAGGGTGCGGTTGAGTGAAGAAGCAGAGGTCCAGCTCCCTGCATACATCCCTTTCCTTATGCCGCAGGGCAGAGCAGATGTTGCTGCAGCAGCATTCTCGCGGCCACCGCCCAGAGAGCCAGCCAGGAGAGGGAGGGGGCTCCAGAGTGGAAGGGTGTGTGTTGTGTGTGCGCCTGTGTGTATTGGTGGTGGAGAAGGAGACTCGGAAGGGCGGAGGAGGAGAAGTAGATAGAGGATGGGGTGGAGGAGAAGAGAAAAGCCAGTGGCTGCCCTCCGGGGGGCGGGGTCTTACAACAGCCGGGGCGAGCCTGAGAAGGCGTGGCTCAGCCTCCGGGGCTGCTCTCTGGTCCAGCGGCTGCTGTTTGTGTTTCCAATTCCGAGGAGCCCAGCGGTGTGCAGGTGCTCCCGTGGGTTGGGTGTCAGCAGCTGGCAAGAGCTGCAATCAACCTCAGGCGCCTGCTGAGCAACAGGAGCTCGGAAAAAGAGAGGAAGGGAGTAAGAGGAAGCAGTGAGGCGGGAGGGACAGAAGAGAAAGGAGCTAAGGAAACTGGGACCTCTCCACGGGTCAGACTCGTTCAGGTGGAGGTGGTGGGCATAACAGCACACAGGCATGCTAGCAAGTAAGTGCCTTTTTTTCCTGCTCGTCTGCTACTGGGTGGGGTGATGGCTAGCTGTTGCCAACCTCTCCTTCCTGTACTGTCGCTTCCCTCCCCGTTTTCCTTCACCTGTTACTCTTTGCACTATCATGTTTCACTGGGTTCATTTTGGTGAAGAAGTTAAGCAGTTGGGTGGGGGGCGCGGTGGGGTTGGTCGGCCTTTGAGGTGGCGCTGGAAATAGAGGCAGAGGAGCAGAAGTGACTCTTTCTATTTCGAGACTGGTCCTTGCCTGTTGCTCAGTAGGAGTGCCTCTGTTTAGTGCAAGGCTTTCAAGTCATGGAGAGAAAAGAATAGAGATAAAAGCCAGTCAAAGAGTTACTCAATGTGGGGTGGTTTTCGATACATTTTCGGTACCTAAGTTACGAAAGGTGTTTATTTATTTGCTTATTTTTTTTTTTTACGTTTATTATCTGGAAAGTTACGACATGCCGCGGCTATATACTTGGTACTCCCTTGGGAGATGCAGAAGGGGCACTTAAAAAGGTTTTTTAGCATAGACATAAAAACAATTGATATTCAAAAAACTGGTTAGCCTTCTATAAACCAATTATTCCTTCATTAAGGAAATGATGTTTTATTATTTTGGTAATGGATAAACTTCCAGTTGAAAACATTTTCCCCCTTTACTTTCCATGGATCTTCCTCCCAAAAACATTATTTAGATGGAGAGAAATTCTGGCATCAGTTAAAAATAAGAAAGAATAGTTAAAGAATTAAGACTGAGATATTGAAATATAAAATGTGCATCATGGTTACTATTAATATGGCTTTAGAAGATGCCTTTAAAATAAATAAATTCTGCCTCTTTTGCACACATTTTTAACATAAAAGTTGGTTTTCTTTAACCTTCTTCAACAGAGCAAAATAAACTGAGTACAGTATTTTAAGGAAAGATGAAGAATTTTAATTACTTATAGTATATAGTGCTTAAGATTTGCCTAGCACTTTACCTATCTTTCCTCATTTATCCCAGTTCGTAGAGGATCATAGAGTTGGCACATAGACATGGCTTCAAAGGCTATCTAGTCCAATACTCTCCTTTCTTACAGATGAAGAAATCAAGATTAAGTGAACTGCCTCAAGTTACACAGGTATGAAATGACAGAGGCAGAATTGGAACCCAACTCCTCTGACTCAAAAGTCTGTGATCTACCCACTGAATTACCTTGCCTCTCTTAAATCATTATTTTGATTGTAGTATCTTAAACATGCAAGTAATATTCTTCCCCAAGATATTTTCCCTCCTTCCAAATTGATTTATCTGCATTTTTGCATGCTGTTCTACAAAAATATTTTTGTTAAAGCTGTCAGATTATATGCAAAGAAAAAAGGTATTATAGAATTGTAACTAGAAACATTCCTATAATCACCTCTAATTCATGATTTCCAAGTCTTTCTTAAACTATGATTCATTTTCCTAGAAATCCTGGTAAGCAGAATTTTTAAAACATTTCCATTGATTACTTGTAGACTGATATTTGATCCTGATGCAATGAGCTGCCCAGAATGCTGAAACTGCAGTACCATTTAACCATAAGAAAAGAACAATGGTAGGCCAAATTTCATATTATAAGTGATGTGCATTTGGGTCACCCACTTAGGGAAGTCTCATACCTGTTTGTAATGACAGGTTTAGAGCACTGGCATGATACAGATCTTCATCACTCCTTTTGTAGGAGTGATTTCCTTAAGCAGCACTGAGCTACAGTGACTTTGTTGGGAATTGTAGTGTACTGCAGCCTCTGTCTGATCTTAATTCACTTAATGGGTATAATAACAAGTTACCTATACATAGAGCATCTCATGCAGATGGGCCACTGATACTTAGTGAGGTTGATTAGTTCAAGTTTGGCCATATGCCCAGAAAAATCTGTCTCAGGCATTCCATTTCTTAGGTTGGGGGCAGGAGTGGGGGTGGGGAGAGGTGGTTATATGACCTTTCGCTAATGCTAATGTTTCTGTTTTCTTCTTTCCCTTTCCAGTCTCCTTCCTTTTCTCCTTCCCCTTTCACTTACCTTTCCCTTTCCCCTTCCTCTTCCCCTTTATCCATTGTGACCATCTAGTGCTCTCTGTGAGGGGAAAACTTTATTTATTAAAAAGTAGTCCCATGATTGCAGATTTCATATTCCCTTATGCCAACTGAAATTCGTATAGCAGAAACCTGAGTCAGTTTAGTCTTCCTTATCATAATTGATGAACATGTTTTGCTTTCCTCCTGGTTATATGGCATTGGATTCGTGTGTGTGTGTGTGTGTGTGTGTGTGTATGTGTATGTGTGTGTGTGTGTGTGTGTGATATAGTATGTAATACAGGAGAGCCCCTACTTCTGGAGACTTTTCAAGTCTGCAGTGTAAATTCACCTCCCTAACATTCCAGTGCTGCCAATTTATAAGAACAGAGCATTTTAAAAGAAATATTCTTCGGTGTATTCTAATCATTTTCACTAAATATGCATCATTTAAATTCTTTACAAGGTGTCGTACTAAGTAACGTGGAAAATTAAAAGGAATTCTAGGACACTGTTCATTGCCTTCCAGATGTATGTAGCCTAGTCAGAATAGAGGGTCTCAAAAAACAATATAAGACATTATATATGTATCAAATTAATGATACAAACATTATACTGGGAGCTGTGGAATGAAGAACCATTTCTGTCTGGCCTGACAAATCTAAGATAATTTTAACGAAATTCAAGAAACAGTCAGCTGATAATAGTTTAGTTCTGGTATAATATATTAATTAACATGACAGAAATTGATTTCAGCAAATATTTATTAAGTACCTATTGCATGTAAGTCTTGGTATATGATTGAAAGAGGCAACATGGAGTAATAGAAAAAGTCCAGTACTCAGAAATCAGGAGACTTGGGTTCATGTTTTGGCTTTGATATTTATTAGCTATGTGATCCAGGGCAATTAATGTAAATTCATTTATCCTTGTTTTTCTCAGGTGTATAATGGGGATAATATGACTAGCATTATTTGGCTCATAGGATTACAATGAAGAAAGCAGATTATAACACCTTAAAGTGCCAAGAAATGCCAGTATTATTCATTTTAAAGGTGAAAATGAGGTACTTCATGCCCTGAAAATCTCAATACAGTAAGGAGGAACTATATGATAAGTTAGGGTATACATGACTGCAAACACTCAGTAGAGAATGTTATCATTGGGAGGGGAAAGAAATCAGAGAAAATTTTATTTTCTTCCTTTTTATTAAGTTTTTATTTTAGTACATTATTAATAATATATCTTAATTTTGATGATCTGTCAATTAACTTAAAGCTCCTTTTAGCATTAAAAAGTGGTTGTGGTGAAATGGAACCAGATCATTTTAAAATTGAGAAAATTGAGGCAGAAAAATTATTTTCCTGAGGGTATTTATAAGTTCAGTGACTTAGCTACTGTTAGGACCCAAGCCTTCTGATTCTTATCGTTCTGATTATTTGTAAGATTCTCTTTTCAATTCAACTCAGCAAAGCTTTTTAAAACATAAACTATGTGTCAAACACTGCTATGAAATGGGAGTGCAGAGAGGAGCTTACATTCTACCAAGGGGAAAAGTATCAAAAAGATGATATACAGTAACACTTGAATTGGACCTTGAAGAAAAAAACCAAAAATATAGTATAGTATAATATGTATTAAATATATATATAGTAAATATAATATATATAGTAAAAATATAGTATAGTATAATAAAAAAAGAGGATTGCACGTTAGACTGCAAACCCACTATGTATAATCTGCTCTTCCTTTTAAATATACAACAAAGTTATATAAATTCCTTTTTTTCTTTCCTTCCCCCCCACCCGCCTTAGAGGTGGCCACCATTAGACACAAATAGGTCTCTGTGTGTGCGTGTTTGTGTGCGTGTGTGCGCAGGTGTGTATATGTACACATATGCGCACATTTATATACATATATACATATATGTATGAAAAATTATCCTATACATACAAACCAAACAAAATTTTTAATGAGTAGATGTGCAGGTTAGAAATGAAGTGTTGTTCAGAGTCGGCAGGCTATCATGTACCGATGTACAGAGGCAGGGGTGGGCAGGATGAAATCAAGATTCAAGATACTTTTGTTTGGCTTTAGCATAGAAGGTGTGACAAGGAATTCGGAGATAGATTGAATTGTTTAAAGTATGTGTACTTTGTCAAGGATTTTAAGTGTTTCTTGAGTGCTCACTAAAAATCTACAGCAATACTTTGTTCTAATTCTAGATGCTTGCGGTGGGTGAAATTATGTTAGCAATCAGCTCAGTTGGTTAGAATGTGGGGTTAATGAGGCCAAGCTCCTGCATTTGATCTCCATATGTTTCAATTAGTTGGCTCTTTTCCAGGGTCAATTTTTGCCGTTGGTTAATATATGTGTGGCTCAATGCATCTGTAAAATTATTACTGAAGGAGAAAACCCTCCAAGTCCAAGGTTCTTAACTTGGGGTCCATGAATGTCAAGTACTCCATTATTTTTTTTAAAGTGTTTCATAAATATGTCAGTATAATTGGTTTCCTTTGCAATATTACATATTTTAATTTATACTTTTAAATCATCATTCTGAGAAGAGGTCAACAGGCATCATCTGATTGCCAAAGGTATCCATGACACACAAAAGGTTAGGAACCACATCCTCTTAGTGCATACTCTACTAATGGTAGATTTGTAAAAAAGTTATCTTGTTTATATGAAAAAAACCCCCAGCATATTATTATTTCCAAAACATGCCATCAAACATATATAAAGGACTTTATTTTTTGCTGCCTGTTTTTGCTCATATACATCATACTGTACAAGTTAATCTTTGGAATAAAAAAATCCAAATGTTCCAATTTTCTATTAGAAATTTGATGTTAGATAACTCTATATGAGTAATGTTCTATTATCTAGCAGCTGCCCAGCCACATTTGCTTTTCATAAAGAATTCTGTATTGAGGAAGCTTGATTTAGTTATCT